TACAAGAAAAAATAAGTTATGATCGTCCTAGTCAGCAGTTTTAAGCGTGTGTGATCTGTCGTTTTACTGGCGTGCTCATCATGTTCACAGGTCAATGAACTGCTCAGGCAACTTGTACCTCCTGGATCTATAAACCTAACAAAAATTGTAGTAAATACAGCGGTGAGTATGATAGGTACCAAGCGTTTTATAAATTAATGAAATAAATATTTTAGGAAAACGATTCAGCCTACTTTGCTCTATGGAATGATGGGAAAGTAAAAAGCGAAAAGACACTGCGGGATTTCATCACAACATAAACAAGTGCACGCAGTTGTGGAACACAGATTTTGTGACGCTGCTAACGGGGTGAGATAACGTTTCAATACTTTTCAATAGTTGCCATTGTAACGCCAGCAACTTTGTGTTGACGATATGAAATTCTGAAAACAAATCCTACTACGTTATCTTTTTTGGCTGATTTGACGAGCTGTTCACATTAGCGAAGTCTCAATACTGAAACACACTTCTTTAGAGCAATTTGAAAGCCAACATTATACGTAACAACTGAGTAAAAGTATAGGAAACAATATTATCCGGTTATATATTGATAATATATGGGCAAACCATATTAGGCATCCTGAGAATTGCATTGTGCTAATGAGAGAACATGTCCCGGTACAATGATGCAACGCAGCGTGTTTGTATTACGTGATGTAACAGGACATTCTTACGAAAATAACTTTTGTATGCCAAATGAAGTGAATTTACACAGCCTAAGCACAAAATTTTCATATGAATCTGATTCTCGCAGCATATCACAAAAACAAACAAATATTTCAGGAATGTGTCATGCCTCTGAATAAACAAACGTTTTTTCATCAAATTCGTAAGCAAGCATTATATGCGGGAGCTCAGGAAGCATATAGAAAAAGGATTTATCTGGCAATATTTTGTTGAGTTGTGTGTTCAAAGGTAACAAGCAATCCATCATTCTTTCTAGAGCCCTCATAAGAAATTTCCCGCCATGGTTGTGCCATCGCTACTGTGCTAGACGTTGCCTTGAAGATGACCTAATGGTTTCCGGCCACCGCAGTGCATTTAAATGAAGGGGTAGTCTAGAAAACGTTGTAATGAAAATGTTCATCAGTGAATAAGTTCGTCAACGCTTCCTGTGCGTGCCGTGCAAAAATAATGAGCAATGTGACACGCGGTAACAACACACATGAGGTTCATGACAGAACCACGGACATAAGCATAGTAAACACCGGAGGTACAAAAGGCACAACGCAAAAAGAGGAACAATAAACTTTGGTTTTAAAAAGGACCAGCAAGAGTTCAGGAAGAACATTCGCAAACCCGAGGACAGATGGGCGGTACGACAGACGCTGATGAGGTGCAGGGCAGGACGCGGTTGAACGGCGCTGTGGAATGCGCTCACGTGTCGACATATGACGCTCTGGTGGCGACGGGCGCTTGACGGCGTGGGTCCGACTACGGAGCAGTCAATTCGCATTTGGAGACGCGATGTTCCATGCGGGGAATAGCCAACCCGCACAGCGAACGCCTTGCGTCGAGACGCGATTCTCGGCGCAACCGTGACTAGTAGCCAGACCACGTCCGTCTTCTGGTGCCGAACGGGCTGACCGCGAAAACGCCTCACCGAGATGCACGAGTGCCCTCGGCAAGACAGAGCAGCAGGCCAGGACGCGCCCACGAGATGCAGTAGTCATCCGGCAACGCCACCCCTTCTGGTGTTTGGACTGCAACAGCGAGGAAGGCCGCGTTTCCCTGGCTTGGAACCTGAATCGCCGGCGTCCGACTTTTCGTCCCGCTGTCTTCCGTCTGCCGCTGCTTCGGCTCGTACCCAGTCACGATGCTTACCCCCCTCTCGTTATGCTGACACTGCTCAATTTGGTACGCCACCTCTATGGGCCCCACAGGTCCTAGAGCTGATTGCCTGACCTCACGCACAAACTTGGCACAAATCACACGCGCTGCCGCCGCACCATCGTCGTTGTCATCGTTTTTTTTTACTCATCACAATAACCCTCCACACAAGAAAGTTATTTCAGTAAAAACAACCTATTATAAACTAACACAGTGATGACGAACAAAACCACCAGACTATTGCTTCGAGCAATATCCAGAGATGCCACTCCAATTCACAACTCGTATACGTTCTTCAAGGTGGCATTTTTTAACGCTGAACAATGACAACTGTGAAATATATATACCCAAAAACAAAACAAACAGCAGCATCTGTTTTAATCTAGCAGTAATAAATGTAGAATTTCAATATATTAGGAAAGAAAATGCTAGACCAACACTTTATACCGACGCTGTTTTTATAGACAAGAGCCGTGAAATTCAACATATTCCTTTTAATTCAAATGAATTCGTATATGTGTGGAACCAGACTGCATACTCTATTAGCTAGCGTCATCGGCTCGTGGAACCGCCAGAATATTTTAAACACTTTCTTTGGCCTGAAGAGGAATAATTATTGGACAGGCACACATAATATAATACGTTCGAACATACATTACATTACACTCAACTGAACACATCCAAACTGCTCGCACTTGCAGGCTACTTCCTCCTATAAATAATTATTTGAGGGCACCGTAACGCCTGCCGATAGGAATATTTGTTTCTAGCTGTCCTTCTGACGACCAAACAACAACAAATGCAGGAAACGCAGCTGCGTGTAATCTGCAGGACCCAGGTAGTTAATAGGAGTTTCATCGTCCTACTTTAACAGCAGCAGCTCATCAAGAGTTCTCACATCAGCTGCCTTCCGTTAGTACAGAGAGTAAGTTTACTAACTACAGTTGACATTTCGTAGCCAACTTCCGCCACTTTGAGCGTATCTATCTATCTATCTATCTATCTATCTATCTATCTATCTATCTATTCTATCTATCTATCTATCTATCTATCTATCTATCTATCTATCTATCTATCTATCTATCTATCCGCCTAGGACTTTAGCTCTCCTGGCCGTTTCATTATGGTATAGATACCAAACTTGATATGGCATGACATTACTGTACGAAGAACATATTTGACTAGTCACATCATGAAATCCGCCATGACGGGCATGCCATAAATGCCATGATTCACATTTCATGGTCCTGCAGCTCTAGCGGTAGTTTCGTTTACATAACGTGGTGCGAACTGGTATGGTGTGACATGGTTGCTTGCGAACACAAGCGACAGACCCTAACATAAAAATCATGAGATGCGTGTCATGTATCAACATGACTACGTGCCACGCTCTAGATGCGCTGGCGCCGTTTCACTAGCTTCACTAATATCAAATTTTTTATTATGGGACGTGAAAGGATGACGAAGGTATGATACTGGTGCAAACATGATAATCATGAGATGCATATCATGCAACAACACGACTCATGCTACGCTTATGATGGGCTTGCAGCCGTTTCGTTAGCTTCACGCGTACCAAACTCAGGTGTTGCCCGACGCGAACGGATGACATAGGTAAATGACACATCCAAACATGACAATCACAACATGCGTGCCATGTGACAACATGAATTATTAGCCCCTCGGATGATGCGCTCGCAGCCCCGCCGCGGTGGTCTAGTGGCTAAGGTACTCGGCTGCTGACCCGCAGGGCGCGGGTTCGAAGCCCGGCTGCGGCGGCGGCATTTCCGATGGAGGCGGAATTGTTGTAGGCCTGGGGGCTCAGATTTGGGTGCACGTTAAAGAACCCCAGGTGGTTCGAAAGTTCAGGAGCCCTCCACTACGGCATCTCTCATAATCAAGCATATAGTGGTTTTGGGACGTTAAACCCCACATATCAATCAATCAATCAATGATGCGCTCGCAGCCGTTTCGCTAGCATCACATATGCCGAATTTGGTATTACGTAACGCCAATAGATTACAAAGGTATGAGACTGGTGCAAACATGATAATCATGAGAGGGGTGTCATGTGAGGACATGATTACATGCCACAGGCAAGGCGCCAATACATTTCGACGTGACGCGGGGCGCGTGCTCACTGGCGTTCATTTTGTCGCGTCATGCCGGCGTTCTCATGCGATGCGCCAGTCCTGCCATACACTCGCAGGTGCGCGCCACGCTTCGTTGCTTTGACGCATGTGCGTTTCAACGCTTCCAGCGTCCCTCCGTCACGAAAAGAGGCAGACACAGTGCTGACTGGGTAACGTAGTAGGTGTGAAATGCAGCATGTCGCATTTCGCGCACGTTGGTGACGGGTCGTGCCGACGGACGCTCATCGCACCGGTCACGCCTGGCGTCAGACTATAGAGTTCACACGTTTTGCTAACGTATAGCGTCGCTGTGCCGAGCGTGCGCGTGCGTCAACGTTACGTTGAAGTAAATTGGGCCCTTCATGATGCGCTCGTGGCCGTTTGGCTAGCTCCACATATACCAAATTTGGTGTTACGTGACGTCAATTGATGACGAAATATGACTGGTGCAGACATGATAATCCTGACACGCGTGTCATGTTAGAAATGAAAGCATATCATACTTATAGCGTGCTCGCGGCTGTTTCGCTGGCTCCACATATACTAAATTTGGTATCACATGAACTGAATAGATGACGAAGGTAAACGACACATACAAACATAATAACATGACACTGAAGTCATGTACGGCATCATTTACCACCACGTCGCAACGTTGTGCTGATTTTATAGAGACATATCAACATTTCTGATTCTTGTTTCGCATATCATCAACTCCCACTGTGCGTGTGATCTACCATTTTTTTTCCAGGAAGCATCAAATGAAGCTAAAACCTAGCTCTCATGTCTCACTTCTTCCAAACTCCTAGGCACCTAAACTGAACGCTAACAGACAATGTCAAGCCTTGCTTGACTTACACTGTCTTTCTGACAGCTGTGAAGGTAAATGATACGTCCAAACGTGATAATTATAACTTGCGTGTCATGAATATCATGTTTGAAATCATTAGTATGTTTCCATGTTAGGAAACATTAATACATACTACGCTCATAGCGTGATCGTGGTGTTTCGCTAGCTACACATATACCAAATTTGGTATCAAGTGTCGTGAATTGGCGGAGAAGGTAAATGACACATACAAACATGGTAATCATGATAAATGATAATCAGGTACATGACTGGTGCAAACATTATAATAATGATGTGCATGTCATGTAACAACATTACTACATACCAAGCTCATGATACGCTCGCGGCCGTTTCACTAGCTTCACATATACTAAATTTGGTAATACGGGCGTGAGTGAACGACGAAGGTAAATGACACGCCTAAACATGATATTCATGGCTTGCGTGTCATGTAAAACATTTCTACATGGTACGCTCATAGCGTGCTCGTGGTCGTCTTGCTAGCTCTGCATATACGAAATCTGGTATTACGTGAGGTTGACAGAATACGAGGTAAATCCCACATGCAAACATAACATGCAAGTCGTGTATGGCATAATTTACGTCACCCTCGTAACGTAGCGCTCATTTGAAAGTGACATATCATTGTCCGTCATTCGTGCTTCGCATATCATGGAGTCCCACAGTATGTGGGATCTGCCAATTTTTTATGATTTTAATCGATCGCACAGACATGCTGTGCTCAAGGAGCCAATAACAAAACACTGGAACAGATGTACACCAATTACCTACTTCTGGTGGTCGCTGCGTGTTTGTCGACGCGTGCCAACAACAACGTTGATCATCACGACCAACAACGACTAGCGAATGTTGACGCCAGTGAACACTAACGTGCCTTGAAATGTATTCCTACGATTGACGAAACCACAATTCGGCCCAGGGATCACTTACTGCTTCAGCTAGCGTCACCCGTAGTCGCATCACCACTAAAGTCTGCGCGGAGTGATTCGTGAAACGACGGAAGCACAAATCACTAGTAGGATCTTCAGGGAGCAATGTGGAAATCTTCGCTTGTAGCATGAATGCTCTCCCTGCACGTAGTGTGAATTCTGGTTGTGGAGAGATCCCAATCGTGTCATACGTCACATGACTTCACCATCCGCGAACACGTTCGTCGTGTAAATAAAGTTTTACGGGACTTATGGCACAGACATATCCCGCGCCATCTGTGTCGTGGCTTAGAAGCACGAAGCCACAATGAATGGGATTGAAACAACTACTGCGAAACAATGATAAAAATTTTATGTTCCCATTTGCAACAAGGCAATGTATTTTACATAACATAACGCTGACAGCATCTTGTACCCGTAAACACCCTCATTCCAGCAATCGAGAGCTTCTTAGCCGAGGCAGTCTCGTGAATGGCATTTGTCCTGCGAGCTAGCGCTTCCGCTAACGCCATCTACGTCGCGTCACTCATGTCTGTCACGTGTCCTGAGGAATGGAAGCTAGCTGACACCGTACTAATTCCCAAGCCAGGAAAGTCTCCTAGCGTTGAGAATCTTCGCCTCATTTTCCTCACGTCGTGCGTGGGCAAGGTGGCAGAGCACGCAATTCTCAACAGACCTAACGACTACCTGGAGGGAAATGAGATTTATACGCACAATATGATTGGGTTTCGTACCGGCCTTTCAACGCAGGATGCAATGCTGCTCATTAACACCAAGTCCTTGATGGATACTCTAGAGACACAAAGGCTCTTCTTGGCCTAGACCTAGAAAAAGCCTTTGACAACATCAAGCATGAATTCATCTTGGAGACTGTGGCAAAAATGGAAAGGCCCAGGCTGTACAACTACATCAAGTCCTTCTTGTCTGGAAGAAAAGTGAGGCTGCGCATCGGGAACGTCTTCTCTGATGACGTACCACTCGGACATCGAGGCACACCCCAGGGGTCCGTGATTTCTCGGTGCTGTTCAATCTCTGCACGATCGGATTGTCGAAAAGACTGGCTAGCGTGGACGGCATCAAGCATACCATCTACGCCGGCAACATCACAGTCTGGTGCGTTGGCGGCAGCGAAGGCCGAGTGCAACATGCCTTTCAAGAAGCAGTCACCGAGGTGAAATCGTATTTGCGCCAAACGGGACTCAGATGCTCACCAGCCAAGTCGGAGCTCCTGCTCTACAGAAAAACGAGGTGGCCGACCTAGAAACCCGTCGAAGAAAGCGGTATACACATTTACACGAGTGACGGCGAGAAAATCCCGACGGTAGACACCATCCGGATCCTCGGCATGTTTATTGAAGCGAAGGGTGGCAACGGCACTGCTCTGCGCAAGATTGTCGCCAAGACTGACAACTCTTTTCGACTCGTCAAAAGTCTCCGGGAGACTAGAGGCCTTAAGGAAATTTGTTAAGGCTCATCAATGGGTTTGTGCTCTGCCACTTTAGCTACACTGTTGCCATGCACAACTGGCTTAGGTCGGAGTGGGACAAGCTCGACGTGATTATCAGAAAGATCGTCAAGAAAGCACTGGGGCTTCCCGTACGCACACACACCGAGAAATTGCTCGCGCTTGGTGTGCACAACTCTGCTGCCGAGATAGCGGAAGCGCAGCAACGCTCGCAGCTGGCTCGCTTGTCCGCTACAACGGCTCGTCGGCGCATACTTGGCGAGCTAGGTTTTAACCCAATGGAGCTGGAAACAAATAACGTGCGTATAGCAAAACATATACAGGAAAACGTCATTGTTGTCTCAATACCCCGCAACACTCACCCTGTACACAATGAGGGACGTCTTCGGGCAAGGGCGACGGCTCTACTGAAGAAACTGGGAAAAGGTGGCGTAAATGCAAGTTTCGTTGACGCTGCACCATATCGAGACGTCAAAAATTGGCAGCGGTGGTCGTGGATCAGGCGGACTCGATTACGAACTGCCCCACGGTACGCACAACGAATCCGCAGGTGGCCGAACAAGTGGCCATCGCACTCGCTCTGCTAAATGGTCGGTGCGAAGAGGTGTACAGCGACTCCAAATCCGCAGTCAGAGCCTTTCAAAAGGGCCGCATATCAACACAGGCAGCCAGGATCTTGAACAGCTCCACCAGCGATACGATTGTCCCTCACACCATACATTGGTTCCCCGCGCATGTCGGCTCCGTAAACGGCGTTGCACTGAACCCGAACGAGTCGGCCCACACAGCAGCGCGCGCACTCACTGACCACGCTGCTATCGACCTGGGCGACGGCTCCAGTACCGACGACGTGGGACACAAAGACACACCTACTACACGCAACGAGATTACCAAGTATTACTACATGGCGAGGCGGGCATTCCCAATGCCACATTCAAAACTCAATAGAGCACAGGCCATCTCGTTGCACTTACTTCAAACCCATTCGTACCCGACGTTAGCATACCTAAATGCAATTTATCCTCACAAATTCCCCGATGCCGCCTGCGCCGCTTGCGGGCAGACTGCTACGTTAGCACACATGCTCTGGGAGTGCGGGTCGCTTGGACCGACTTATAGCAAACCCGAGTGGGATGCGCTTCTGCACAGCCCAGAACTTCAGGACCAAATCCTGGTTGTCCAGTGTGCCCGCGACAGGGCCGTCAGGCTAGACCTGCCGGTCCCCACGTGGGAGTAGCCGGGCGACGCGTGGCAACCTCAGTGTCTGCACAGGACCATAATAAAGTTGTTCTCACTCTCTCTCACTCACTGTCACGTGCATTTTCGTTCATTAGCCTCAGAGGTTATGACCTGCATGCATTATGGGTTACTAAACGTGACTACATGAATCGGCCGTGGTATGTTACTCTGTATTTATATTTGTTACAGACTTCTGATTCAAGAAAAAAACTAGACAAATCGTATTTTTGTTATGTTGAAATAAATATTGTGCTTTTTCATAGCGCAGGTGTACGCAATGAATTTAAATTATATAGTGCAAACTTGTCATATAATACGAGCGAAACTCGTAGTACAACATATTTTGCCTAAATAGTTGGTGAAAGGATACATTAGTTATATACTGAACGTTAGGCACTGATAAAATTAGGGGGCCATTTAGATTCGCCTTGAAGAGTTAAACGCCACAGCAATATCCAGTCCCTACTGGGTGCTTGAATCACTTGGTGCACACTTTTTATTGTATGATGTTACTCACCAAGCTTGAATTGCGGATTACTACAATGTAAACCCTATTGTTTAAAATGTCTTGTGTCAGTGAAGATTTCGCATACCGCTGCATTTTCTGTACTATGTATACGATATAAACCATAGGTAATTATGTACATGAAATGTCTTCGAGCGTGCTATTCACACTCTACGTCGTGTTCAGAGAATACTCGTAGTAACGTGTGCGCCTTTTGTAATGGGCGGCTGGCTGTAAACCATGAGATAGTTATAGTCATCATCTGTTCTGACGCCGAATGGCAATGTTTGCTTGTGCGATGCAATATTACTGAAATGTCATACGTATTTTATGGATCATGTTAGGAAATTCATCAACCGCTGTAAAGCAGGGGTTGCCCCGCCGCGGTGGTCTAGTGGCTAAGGTACTCGGCTGCTGACCCGCAGGTCGCGGGTTCGATTCCCGGCTGCGGCGGCTGCACTTCAGATGGAGGCGGAAATGTTGTAGGCCCGTGTACTGAGATTTGGGTGCACGTTAAAGAACCCCAGGTGGTCAAAATTTCCGGAGCCCTCCACTACGGCGTCTCTCATAATCAAATGGTGGTTTTGGGACGTTAAACCCCACAAATCAATCAATCATAAGCAGGGGTTCTATCGCTCGGCGGCTCAGTCGAAGATCTCAGGCTCTATTTGGGTCACTGCGGTCACATTTTCATGGAATTATGGAAGCAAAACGGCAGAAGCCCAAGTACTCATGTCAGTGCACGCTAAAGAACACCATATGGTCGATATTTCCAGGACCCTTCACTGAGACGTATGACAAGATGATACCGAGGCTTTGGAACAAACCTCCACATAATATTATTAGGAAACACAGACGTTTTTTTTTTTGTATTTCTAGGACATTTTATGGAAGCAGTTGTGTTGTTTGTTGAGTACTTCGCTTGTAACTTTCTTCATTCACAGGCGAAGAATGACCAAAGATAAGGATCCTAAACAGGGTGTTGAAGGTATGTTTTCGAATAAATTTTAAACTACTTTACTGCACAAACCAAGTCCACATAATACACTTTATGTCACTTTATAAATCTGTCCTGCAGTCACGCCGTAGCGGCACGTTGACGTCACGCTCTCCTCGCAATGTGCGCTGACGTCACTCTCTCGCGGCGAGCACGGTGAGCACGGCGAGCACGCGAGAGAGTGACGTCAGCGGCGAGCACGGCGTCAGGGTGCTGCGGCGAGCATGCGCTGACGCCACGTGCTCGCCGCAGCACCCGCCGCTACCGCCTCGTCCGTTCACTCGCAACACTTGCCGCTACCAACGCTCGCTCCCTTACCACAACCGCCGCTCGCTACACTACCAACTGGTAAGTTCAAGAGGAATAATCCTTACGGGTGCCCAACTTACGTGTCGAAACATCTCTACATGTCACCTGTCTCTCGCTTCAATCTCTCCATCACAAGCAACTTTTGACCCCTCGTTGAGTGAACACTCTTTCGGCTCGTTTATCTGCAATAGAGATGACACTGGAAGACGACGCTTCTTCGCCCGCCCAAACATCCGGCGAAGCGATTAGGCGTAACCATGCCGTTGCTGGCGTTGTGAGGGTTAGCGAAGCCGACCGCGTTTGCCAATAGTGGCGTCGCACCTGTAACACCGCAGTACCTGCGTTAGCGCCGTTCAACCCCTAACGCCACCCATGCGCAACGCTGCTGCTCCGCATCCCATCACGTTTCCCTTTAGGAAGTTGGTGTGAATTTTCGTCTTTTTTGAAATTTTTCTGTTTAGGCGCATGTACCTTGATGAGTTTTTTTTGTTGGACCAGTCATTGTTTCTTCAAGTTATTTTGTTTTTTTTTTCAGTTTTGTAGGTGATAGTACCTCTACCATATGAAAATTTTTGGAAGCTATTTTTTTGTTGCATCTTCAAAAAATTTCCAGTTGCGAGTGTATGCCTGTGTTGCTCTCTTCTCCGCACTGTAAGCAAAAGCTATCCGAGGTTTGGGGTTTTTGCGGCTAATGACCCGTGAAAACCCTGTCGCGTTTAGGATTACTATCTCGTGTGGGAGTAAAAGGCGGCACATGTCTTACCACCCCCTCTAATGCACCTAGTAAAGGAATGTCCAAATCCAGTTTAACTTCGTGGAGAGTTCTGTCAAGTGAATTTTAACCAGCGTTTCAAAATGTATTGCCACGTTACTGCAAGCTGCGACTTCTTCGGCGGCTCCCTCTCTTCCTCGAGTGGCGCTCTCAGTGAATCGTGAAGGTATGCCAGCACGACAGATGTTATTTTTGTTTTTCTGAGATGGTATGTCATTGTCGCGCCTCTAGGCTGACCACGAGTCAACGCACAATCACTGGAACCGTGTGCTGCATAGTGCACAACTAACGAGGAAAATTTTGTGAAGGAATTAAAAGGGCCTGTTCCAAGAAAAAGTAAAAAAAAATGCTGGAAAGTTGCCTTGAAGACTCTCACAAATCGTCGGCTTTAGCTGTCCAGTGGCCCTGGAGACAGGTGGTATAAGACGCTCCATGCACCAACCGTTGTCAGACGTCTAGCGCGAAGGCGAACACCGATACGAGGCAGACGGAACCAACGAGCGGCCCCTCGTGAGCACGGTCACAACTCGCACGTCGATCAGTCTCTTTAGTTGGGAGTACATGACCTCGTAATGCGCCATAGATAGCGGACACGTCTCTTATTACGATAACAATTATGTGGGCAGTCTCGGCTGATTTTTGCCGTCGTCGTCGCCACCACCGTCGTAGCAGGAGCCGCCGCCATTCACGATATATATTTGATGGTTTACGAGTGAAAGGAAGATGAGGAGGAGGAAGAGTTAGGATAAACTGGTGTTCTGACTGACGCCATGTCTCATCTGTTACAGTATATATATATATATAGAGAGATATATATATATATATATATAATATATATATATATATATATATATATATATATATATATTATATATATATAGATTATATATATATATATATATATATATATATATATATATATATATATATAGGCAGGCATGATGGTTGAGTGGCCGTAGCGTTGCATATAGTCCAGTAGATCCTCCGTGAGCGGTCACAACGTGGTTTATTTCGACGTTTCGGCCTAGAGTCTGGCCTTCATCAGGATTCCTGATGAAGGCCAGACTCTAGGCCGAAACGTCGAAATAAACCACGTTGTGACCGCTCACGGAGGATCTACTGGACTATATATATATATATATATATATATATATAACTTCGGTTGCCGCAAGGTTATAAATATGAAAGTAGATGCGCTTTCACATAACAACTGTTTATTGTGCCGACGTTTCGACAGGAACCCTGTCTTTTTCAAGGCCTTGAAAAAGACAGGGGTCCTGTCGAAACGTCGGCACAATAAACAGTTGTTATGTGAAAGCGCATTTACTTTCTATATATATATATATATATATATATATAATATATATATATATATATATATATATATATATTGAGCATCGCTTTCCAGTCAGGGTCGTCTGCGTGCGCGCTGATCTCCTGGGCAAACATGAGGGAGTGGGGGGGGGGGTGCTCTTATGGTTGCCGCGTTATCACGGCAACGAGTAGCGCACGGCTTGTGCCCCCAGCAGGCGGGAGCTTCTACGTGCTGCACTTTCAACATGAAAAAAAAAATTGGTGCAGAAAGTGTTTGAGGAGTCTCCAGCTTTTACCGGTCTTGAGTTGGCCCTCCATAGAATCACAGAGCTCATCCCATTGCTGCTTGCATAAGACCTTGCAATGATCTTCTACCGTTTTGTTGACATTTTCTTGCGCAGTCTTCTGTTATGGCGCTGAGTCTTCCATCTCGGCAACGAGTAGCGCACGGCTTGTGCCCCCAGCAGGCGGAGCTTCTACGTGCTGCACTTTCAACATGAAAAAAAAAATTGGTGCAGAAAGTGTACCCAGAGCAGCCGTGTCCTCTTACACCAGCGTTTTGTAGAGTTACGTGAAATCGGATTTAAATGAGCTGACTACCAGCCTCCCTTCGTATAACATTACAATTTGCCGCTATCGCATTTATTGCTTCAATTTCCCGGTGAAACTGATTTTGTGCAATCATCCCTGCCACTCGCGAGCTGCACTTTAGAACATGCGCACGAGTATATGTAGCCACCGAGAAAGCTTCTTGATACACAGCTAGGTATCCAGCGGCTATGCACGTTTTCCAGGCTCTGTCTCATTTGTCACAAGGTATTTAAGCCTCATACGCGGGAAAATATCTGAAACGTTTGGTACCCTATAAAACCACATTCGTGTCACTTAATTTTCTTACTGTGTTCTCACTGTCTCAATTATTTATGTACTGAGACAAACCAAAGCGGCAATCGCCTTTAAGCCCGTGTCTGTATGACTTTCCGACCACGCGCATTTTACTTCGCCCACTTACGTCGGCGAACGTCTTTGCGCGCATTTCAAAATTTGAGGCTACAACAACCAAGGTATAGGTATACTAATGCCTCTTTATACGTGCTAGTGCTTGCACAGCCACTCCTGTCACGTATGTTCAGCTGCCCCTCTTCAGTGTATCTCCACGCATGCACAGAAGCTTAGCTATACGTTGATTTCAGTCGAGTGACCACACTTGAAGGGCTGTTTCTAACAAACGCAGAACAGCACTTCATCTATCACCATGGTAGAGGAAATCCCGATCGCACGTTTTCGGATGGATTTCACCAATCGGAAGCTCATGAACTTCATACAATCACCAACAAGTGCTTCGTCAACTTTCAGTCATTGCAGACATTGGCAATTCGCAGCATGAACCTACTCTCGTTGCCCACGCACGCCATCATGTCGTCTACGCTAGATACCTCTATTGTGCTTCACGGAACGTGGTTGGACACTGCCACCGAACTACCAGGGTACAAGTGCATCAGCCTCGCAAAAGGGCAAAGCCGCTGAGCTCCTGGATCGCCATCACGAACGCTTCAACGGGACAACATTTCTACTGCGCACCGTTCCATACCAATTCCACTCGCTGCCCCAGGTGGCTTGTGTGATACTTGTGTCTTCAGTACATCTCACGACTTCCGTCGCATTAGTATGCATCTCGCCGGGAACCTCATGGAACCACATAATTAAGTTCTTGCTCCACTATTCAGCGCGGTGGGCCAACGCACGGACAGACAGACGCACGGCGCGGTTGAATAAGTATTTGCTGTCGTATAGTTGATTACACATATAGTCGGTCATTTACAGATATGTTTTCATTTTACGTTGTGCAGTGTTAAGTGGCGGTTTGGGTTTTCCGGGACGTGGTGGAAGCCAATTACGTCACCCCCAAGGAGCTTCGCCTTAGGTGTTGGAATGAATTCTCGGTGGCTACGAACGCATAAAATAAATATCATGGTCCCAGCAGAAATCAAACCCCGGCATTCTC